TGCAAAGAAAGAAGGCGTAACTTTTATTCTCGCTGTAGTATTGTTACCGCCGCCGCCACCGCCATGTTGTGGATCGCTGTGTGTGTGTCTTTGCGAAAGCGAAAATACTTTGTTTGGCCTTCCAAAAGAGGACGGCAGTACTGAGCACCACTTCAGCTCTCTGACAATGGAGGTGTGACTTGCTAATGCCCAGTGCTGGAGGCGTTCAGATGGACTTGCTCATTTACTGCGTGGCACTAACAGCCTCTCATTTGTCTATCAGGCACTGATAACATGCTGAATTACATCCCATGCATTTGGATGTTGACCTTAGCTTTGCTAAAAATAAAAAGTGAGAACTCAGAACAAAGTGTCCTTTAAATATATATATATGCGTGTATGTATGTATGTGTGTGTATATACAGTATATTAGTATATATTTTTTATATAATACAATGTAATAGAATAGAATAGAATAATTTCCAGTAACAGTCAGCATTAAAAAAAAACTGTAAATATGATAAAACAAAAAATGTATCTTTTCAAGGAAACATTTGCCCAGATTATTATATTAAAATATTATGTTTTATAATACATAATGCATAAAATCAAATGTGAAATTGCATCATAATATATTATATTGCATTACACTGCATTGCATTAGATTACATTATATTACACTTTCACACATTAAATATTATATATTTTATAAAATATAATGCATAAAATATAATGTAAATTCAGATGTAGTTATTTTCCACAAAAAAACTATTAAGCTACAAAAACTGCTTTCAGCATCCCTAAAAATAAGAAATGTTTCTTGATCACCAAATCATCATATTAGAATGTTTTCTGAAAATTCAGCTTTGTCATCACAAGAATTAAATATATTTTAAAATACATTCAAATAGAAAACAATTTGTTAAGTAAGGGATAATGTACATCCAGCCGGTTGTTATCTCAGAATAAACCCCGACAGGGTGATCAGGAAGCGGAGGGGTCTTGTATCAGCCTGAAGGGGTTTATTCTGAGATAACAACCGTCTGGATGTACATTATCCCGCTTATTACACGGCTACTTGCCACATAAGTAAATAATTAGAC